TTTATTGAGGGCCACAGAAGACAGGGGGAGTAGAAGCTCAGCTTGTTAAAATAATACCCACAGCCACAGCAGTCACCCTGTGTCAAGGGAGGCTGTCATGTGCCAGGCAGGTGCTTTACTGCCCACCTTCCCTTCACACTGGCTCCTGACGTGGGGGTCTTCCTCTTTTCAAAGTGAGGACCAAAAATCGGAAAGATTCAGAAACTGGCAGAAGTAGAAAAGGTTGCCGAGCCCTCATTAAAGATGGATGCACACACACATTCATTCATTCATTTCTTTTTATTTTTCATTTATTCATTCCCTCCCACACACACTCAACAAGCCTGCATTGAGTGCCTCTGCTATACTAAAAACACCATCCTAGGCCCTGGGGACGTGCGACAGTGAACAGGCAGGTGGCAGCCCGTGCCCTGGTGGAGCTGATGCTGCCATCCTGGGGGACCAGCAGGTGACGGCATGTACTTCAGAAGGCTAGAGCATCTGAGACCCGTAGCAAGGTGGGGAAACCAGGGGGTGCCTGGCCTCGCAGATCCCATGTTGAGGGAGCTGGGATTGGAGGATGCTGAGGGAGCCGGCCAGGCAGGCATCTGGGCTAAGAGCTTCCCAGATGGAGGAGCAGGAAGCCCAAACCTCTGAGGCCGGCTGGTGCTGCTGGCTGGGCAGGGCCCACTTGCTGCTCCAGGACTTGTGGGTGGGCGTGGTCACAGGCCGGAGGACATCTGTAACCGGCTGGGCCCCCCCCAACAGACCCTTTATTGAAGCCCTTTTATGGGCGGATCGGGTTCCCCAAGGGGAGCCATTCAGAGGCAGGGCCAGGCGCAGCGAGGGGTGCAGAGGCTGCCCTCGGGGTCCTGGAGGCATCTGCATGTGAAAGGGAGTGGGCATTTACTGCATCCTGTCTTGGGCCACTAAAGCACATCTGCTGGGCCCAGCCCAGGCCCAGCCAGGCCTTTTTGGAGCCGGCGGAAGGAAGCAGGCTTGGCCCGGGGCGGCCTCATAAAGCAATTCCCACCCAGGACCGCCCCAATGGCCCTGGTGCCATGGAGCCAGGCCACAGCCCATCCCTCCAGTAGCACCCCTCAGTCCCCCATGTGTGCAGGTGCCTTGGAGATCCTGATCAAACACAGGTGCCTCCCAGCCAGCCTAGAGCAGCGAGGGGCCGGGGCCAGGGGAGCTTTGAAGTGCGGCTGGTCTTGGCACCGTAGAATCTTCTCCTTTATGCCTGGCTTCCCTGGCAGCATCCAGCCCCAGGGGCACAGGTCCTTGAGGGTAGCAGCAATAGTAACAACAACAACAATAACAGTAATAATCACGTGGGCTGTGGGCCTGGGCTGGAGCCTCATCTGCGTTGCCTCATCCACCCCCACACATGGCGTGGCACCTGCCAGAGGGGTTGGCAGGACACTGCAGGGAGAGGTCCATTTGTTTGAGTTTGTTTAAGCTAACAGGAGCTTTCCTGACGCAGCCTGGACCTTGGACAAGGGGTGTTTGTCGAGAACGTGCTGTCACCTGTGGTCCCGTTTGCTGTCAGGAGGTGAAGCACTTTGTCTTCAGAGATGGGAGCCGCTGCGCTTTCATCCTGGGTTCTGTGGTTTTCAGCAGTCATTTCAACATTTTCAGTTTCATAAGAAATAGGTGGCCTCCTTATGTAAACATTCTCACCAGCCTGTGAATACGCAGAGTGAAAAGTCCAAGTCCTTGTCCACGACCCTGTCCCAGTCACTTCCCCAGGGCGACGAGACGCACCCTTCTGGACGTTTTCCTTTCTATTTTCTGGAAGCACAGAGGATTTTGAGACACGGCCCCTCCCTTCCCTGACTCTTGTGCGGTTCTGCAGGCACCTGCCCCGTCACTCTAGAATGCCGCCGCCGCCATTGCTCCAGGCATGTGCTTTGTTAGTGCACAGGTCACTGGAGGCTGGAGACCCCTTACAGGTCCCCAAGCCAGGGGCTCTGAATTCTTAGAGCACCTATCCCATCAAATGAAATTTTGAGTAGAACTCCAAAATTAAATATACACATATATATATGAACAATGTTTGAATAGTATATTATTTTTCATGGGGATGGGATCTTACTATATTGCCCAGGCTGGACTCCAACTCCTGGTCTCAAGGAGTCCTCCTGCCTCCACTTACCCTGTAGCTGGGATTATGGGTGTGTGCCACTGTGCCTAGCTCAGAATGGAAAATGTTTTCTATGTTCAAATTTATAATGTTTCTTCTGGGGTTGATTGATGTGATGGAAGAGTTTTTTGTTTTTTGTGAGACAGAGTCTCGCTCTGTGGCCAGGCTGGAGTGCAGTGGTGCAATATCGGCTCTGCAACCTCCGCCTCCTGGGTTCAAGCGATTCTCCTGTTTCAGCCTCCTGAGTAACTGGGACTACAGGCACGTGCCACCATGCCCGGCTAATTTTTTGTATTTTTAGTAGAGATAGGGTTTCACCATGTTACCCAGGATGGTCTTGATGTCCTGACCCCGTGATCTGCCCCCCTCAGCCTTCCAAAGTGCTGGGATTGCAGGCGTGAGCCACTGTGCCTGGCCCAAACTTCCATTTTTGTTAAGAATAAACAAAGAAAGGAAATACAACCACCCCCATGTATCTGGGCTAGAGTCATAATAGAATGATGAACTTGGATTGTGTGGAAGGACCCTGAGGAACATCCGACGGATACTTGAAAGCTCTCCTGTGGCTCTGCACTTGGGAGTAAGGTCTGCTTCTCAGTCTCTGATCTCAGCCTGGGTGGGCAGGGGTCGTCCTGTGGAGATCAAGGGCAGCCAGGGCGGCTCTGGCACAGGATGACTGGTGTACCCTGCAGGTGCTGCCTCTGCTCGGAGCCCTTGGCCAACTGTGAAGTGAGTGTGGCACAGGTTACAAAGCTCATGAATGGAGTCCCCCAGCATCCCACAATGTACAGAGAAGCCATGTTGGCAAAGCATTGCCACACCTGCCCACCATGGTGTGCTGCAGGGTAACTTCCCAGGCCCCCCAGGGACAGTCATGTTGCTGTCCAGCTTGTAGAGGAGGAGCCTAAGCTTCCCAGAAGTGATAGGACTTATTCAGGCACCTCTTGGGGAGGAGTGAGGGCTGCTGCTTCTGCCAGGGCAGGTGCCACCTCTGACCTGTCGCAGAGCTTCATCGTGTCACATAAAGTGGCAGGTGTCAGCTCTAGTGTGAGAGCCTGGGTTTCCAATTCCTGCTCTGCTCCATAGTTAGCATGTGGCCTTGAGGAAGTCCCTTACCTTCCATCACCCCATTTATGGCTGCGGTTCAAGGGCCCTGGTTTCCCATGTGTAATACCTGTACCCAGGCTGCAAGAATTAAGTGAAATATTTTCTCTTAAACCAGTGTTTGGGGCGAATGCATTGGCTCACACCTGTAGTCTCAGCACTTTGGGAGGTGGAGGCAAGCAGATCACCCGAGGTCAGGAGCTCAAGACCAGCCTGGTCAACATGGAGAAACCCCGTCTCTACTAAAATTACAAAAGTTAGCCAAGTGTGGTGGCGCATGCCTGTAATCCCAGCTCCTCAGGAGCCTGAGGCAGGAGAATGGCTTGAACCAGTGAGGCAGAGGTTGCTGTGAGCCAAGATCGCGCCACTGCACTGCAGCCTGGGAGACAAGAGCGAGACTTTGTCTCAAAAAACAAAGCAAAACAAAACAAAACAAAAAGACTTTGGGCTGGACGAGGCGACTCACACCTGTGATCCTAGCACTTTGGGAGGCCGAGGCAGGAGGTTCACCTGAGGTCAGGAGTTCAAGACCAGCCTGGCCAATATGGCGAAACCCTGTCTCGATCAAAAATATTAAAAAATTAGCTGGGTGCAGTGGTGTGCACCTGTAGTCGCAGCTACTCAGGACGCTGAAGCATCACTTGAACCTGGGAGGCGGAGGTTGCAGTGAGCCGCGATTGCACCACTGCACTCCAGCCTGGGCGATACAGCAAGACTCGGTCTCAAAAAAACAAAAACAAACAAGCAAACAAAAGCTAATGTCTTCCTTTTTCTTAAAGTATTTGTTTTCCTTTTTACCTTTAACTATTAAGAGATAAAAGCCAACGTTTTACTTATTCCATATCTAGGAGCTAAAGGAGTATTTTGTCATTGAAAGGTCGAATAATTTTGAAGAGTGGGTTCTTTGCCAATAAGCAGTCCTTTCTTTTCTTTTTCTTTTTTTTTTTGAGACAGAGTTTCACTCTTGTTACCCAGGCTGGAGTGCAATGGTGCGATCTCGGCTCACCGCAACCTCCGCCTCCTGGGTTCAGGCAATTCTCCTGCCTCAGCCTCCTGAGTAGCTGGGATTACAGGCACGCGCCACCATGCCCAGCTAATGTTTTGTATTTTTAGTAGAGACGGGGTTTCACCATGTTGACCAGGTTGGTCTCGATCTCTTGACCTTGTGATCCACCCGCCTTGGCCTCCCAAACTGCTGGGATTACAGGCGTGAGCCACCGCGCCCGGCTTTTCTTTTTTTTTTTTTCTTTTTTTTTTTTTTTACAGGGTCTCACTTTGTCACCCAGGCTGAAGTGCAGCGGCACAATCTTGGCTCACTGCAACCTCGAGCTCCTGGGCTGAAGTGACCCTTCCACCTCAGCCCCCAAAGTAGCTGAAACTACAGGTGCATACCACTGCACCTGGTCAATTTTTCTATTTTTACCTTTATTTTTTTTTTTTATTTATTTTAAAACAAGCAGAAAAATTTTATTAAAGGAAAATTTTGCATGGTTTACTTTTCACCAGTCTGTTCTGGCATGCTTCTAATGATGTCAAAATCGCCTAAAAAATAAAAATACAGGAATTTTACAATTAATTTTAATAGCAACTGGTTCTGTAAAATTTCTGTACTTTCGTTATCGCTTCTGTAGACAATAGTCTGCAAATTAGCACTGATTTTTTGCAAAAGTTACCACATTAGCTGTACTGTCATTTTTCTTAAGGTTGATCAAATATAACCTAGAATCACAGCCATTATATGATCACACAAAATGATCATACAATAAAATTGGTTCATCACCAGCATTTATTTATAAAACCAAAGCTAGGGAAAGAACTAGGTCTGGGGACACACGCATGGTTCTTAATATAGCGAATATTTAGCCTGTCTTGACTATTACAAAATCAGAACAGCAAGAATATTTGCAGAATTTTTCTATTTTTAGTAGAGGCAAGGTTTTGCCATGCTGCCCCTGCTGGTGTTGAACTCCTGAGCTCAAGGGATCTGCCCACTTCAGCCTCCCAAAGTGTTGGGATTACAGGTGTGAACCGCCGTGCCCGGCCATACGAAGTCTTTTAGTTGCTGAACTTGGCGCACATGCAAAGCTGAAGCACACAGTTCTGCTCGAGGTGCTGTATTTTCCACATCTGTTCCTATTTTCATGAGGCCAACATGAAAAGATTCTCATTCCAGCTGGGTCCCTGGACGACTCACTCAGCCCTTCCAAACCACAGGTCCCGTCTCCAAACTGCAGGTCTCATCTGTAAATGGGAACATGAACCCACGTCTCAGATTGTCGGGAGGATTCCACATGAACATGCAGGTGAAGCTCGGTGTGTGTCGGGGGCGGGGTGCCAGTCACTGGGCGTGGCTCTAGCCACCGCTGGGACTTCCTCTGTCCTCAGTTCTTCCGGGGCTCCATGCTGGTGTGAATTTTCCCCTCTTTCTAAAGGTGCCCCTGGGCAATACACTGGGTTTCTCCTGCTTCCCCGGGCACCTGGCTTCCTCTCAGAGTGTACCTGCCCCAACCCTGGATTTGTCAGAGACGGGTTGTCATTGTCACCACCACAGTAATTACTGCCATTTATTTAGTATTCGAAATGTGCCAGGTGCTGCTCATGTCTTTTTGTTTGTTTTTTTGAAATGGAGGCTTGCTCTGTCACCCAGGTTGGAGAGCAGTGGCTCAATCTCGGCTCACTGCAACCTTTACCTCCCTGGTTCTAGTGATTCTTCTGCCTCGGCCTCTGGAGTAGCTGGGATTACAGGTGTGCGCCATCACACCTGGATAGTTTTTGTATTTTTAGTAGAAACAGGGTTTCACTATGTTGTTCACTATGTTGGCCAGGCTGGTCTCGAGCTCCTGACCCCTGGCAGTCTGCCCACCTCAGCCTCCCAAAGTACTCAGATTACAGGTGTGAGCCACAGCCTCTGGCCTCATGTCTTTTTTTAAAAATAGGATCTTCATGACAGCCCTGTCTAGTAGCTACTGTTCGTGCCTCAATTTACAGGTGAGGAAACTGAGGTTGCAGAGGGTTGGTGACAAGCAACAGTCACACAGGGAGGAGGTGTGTCTGCTTCCCGAGCCAAGCTCCCACCTTACTTCCAGAGGCCTGGCCTTTGTCCCCGTGGCCCTCAGGGACAACCAGCTGCTGCTGAGGCTCCTAGGCTGGGGAGTGGAAGAAAGGACCCAAGATGCCCCATCCCTCCACCCGCACGTGCCATGAGGCATTTCCTGTCCCTCTGGGCCTTGGTATCCCTTCTGTGAGGTGACACAAGTGGGCTGTGTGATCTCCAAGGTCTCTGGCTTGCAGATTCCCATGCACTTGATTCTAAATTGTGTTTATTGATTCCTGGGACATCGATGCTCGTGGGATCAACATGTCCCTGTGATCTGGGCTCTGTGGCACAGGCACTTCAGAGAACACTCTAGATGGGTGTTCTGTGGGCAGGTGAGGAGGTGCAGGCGCAGGAGGGTGTGCCGTGTGTTTTATAAGGACCTAGCTGGGGGCCTGCTCCAGCTTGACCTCACTGCGCCCGGCTAAGGTCACTGCCCTGCTGACCCAGACCAAGAGGTCCAGCTAGGGCCTGGCTACTGCGTCACTGCGTCACTGCGTCCTTCTCTTCATTCAGACTTTGAACTCTGATGACACCAAGTTGTGTGTGGCTGTGTGATATTGTGCTGGCCTAAAGCCAGAACCTGAGCAACACCATCTTTACAAAATGCAAAACTGTTTTTTAAATAAGTTGCAACAGCTGCCCCATTCTCCTCACAATAACTGCTGGCCCTTGGAATGTCCGGAGACCCCCACCCTCGTCTCCACCCAGGAGGGGAATTACAGAATCCCCTGGCCCTTGGAATGTCTGAAGCCTTTTCATCCCCATCCCTGCTCCTCACCCCCACTCCCAAGGTGGTTTTTCGGGTATAAAAAGTCTTGGCACCCTCCTTTCAACGCCACAGGTTTGAGAGACGTGAGTCCTCTGCGGTCGCCGGCATAATAAATGACCCTGCAATCTGGCATACTTTTGTCTTGGTGCTAACTTTCTATGCTCAGTCCAGTACAACAGCTGCTCAACAGTGTCTAGCGGACCATGGGGAGGGGTGTGCGGGTTGGAGCCAGGGAGCAGCGGGCTGCCCACCTCACTGCAGGGGCTGCCCTGGACCGTCATCCAGAAGGAGGAACAAGTGCAGCAGGCTCAGCAGAGCCAGTGTGAAGGCCGTGCCCTGTGCCAGGGGCCCAGGGGGTCTCCACTGTGCCCAGCCTTACCTCGTCTCCTTCATGGCAGCCCTGGGGAGCTGGAAGGCTGGGTATTGCCATCACCCCACTTATGGCTGGGGCTCCAAGACTCTACGAGCCTGGTGCAGGCGCCCGGTGGGAAGCCAGACCCCACTCCCAGTGGGACAATGCTGATCTGTTGCTGGCCCTACCTGCAGGTGGTCCCTGGCACAAGCTGCTGCCCATCAGGGCACAGGGTGGGCTCATCCCCACATCAGCATGGGCATTCCTGGGCATATGAGAATAACTGTATTTTTCTTTTCTTTTTTGGTGGGGGACGATGGAGTCTTGCTCTGTTGCCCAGGCTGGAGTGCAGTGGCATGATCTCGGCTCACTGCAACCTTTGCCTCCAGGGTTCAAGTGATTCACCTGCCTCAGCCTCCCAAGTAGCTGGGATTACAGGCACCCACCACCACACCCGGCTAATTTTTGTATTTTTAGTAGAGATGGGGTTTCACCATGTTGGCCAGGCTGGTCTCGAACTCCTGATCTCAGGTGATCCACCTGCCTCGGCCTCTCAAAGTGCTGGGATTACAGGTGTGAGCCACGGCACCTGGCCTGAGAATAACTATTTTTCTATTGAAAAAACAACTCTGCTCTGCTTACAGGGCTCCTGCTTGACCTCCTGTTTTGAAAAATTGGATTCTTAGAGGAAATGAGCACTCTGCAAGTTTTAGTTCTCCAAACGTGCACGTTCAATCTCCACTGCTTTCCAAAGGCAAGGTACCGAAGATCTGAAAATCAGACGGTGGCTAGCACTGCCCAGAGGCCGTGTTACTAAAAACATTTCGGTGGTGCCGGGGCTGCCGAGGGCCTGGGGCTGGGGCTGTGGCATTTCCTTTCACTACAACCCCCGGGCGGTGGTCAGTGTCCTCTCCCCTCTCTGAGCAGACTCAAGCATTGAGCTTGTATTTCTCTGCACTGGTTCCCATTTCAGTAGTAATAGGGACCCTCCCAGCACACGAGGTGATGTCTGTGATGTGGCCCCAGGAGCAGGCTAGGGGTTAGGGGGGCTGAAGCCTCATGTGGGAAAGCAGCACCCCCACCAACCAACCCTCTACCCCCTTACCCCGCTGTCTCCACACCCCTTTCTTCCTGCTGTGAATTTCTCTGTTACCAAGTGGCCCCGTCAGATGTGGGGTTTGGGTCAGTTAGGTGCTTCTCCCAGTAAAGCTCCCACTACGCTGGGTACTTGGTACTGTGCTGGGTAGATTTGGGGCGGGATTCTAGAGAGCATCCAGCGAAGTTGCTGCAGGAAAGGGCCAGTCACTGCCTGCCAGCCTTGGTGTGGGCCACGAGCTGACATTTCCCAAATTCCAGCCTCACTTTGTGGGCCAGGCAGCCCCTCTGACCTGTGAGCTGCCACCCTGAGCCTTTTGATGGCACTGACCCTGAGGGTTCCCTGCGGCCTTGTGTCCTCCCGAGCACGTGGCGGCCCCTCCCTGGCCTCAGAGACCCTGGCCTGGGTGCCCGATGCCCATCACCCCTACACAGGAGATGCTGAGGTGACCCCTCTGTTGGTAAACCAAGGCCCTGGTCGCTGAGGATGGCACTGGTTTTGCACTAGGGTGCTCCCAGGTGCTGACCTTGGCTCTGCTGTGGTTCTGTACCAGGCATGGCTGGGGTGCTGAGCAGACAGAGCCCTGCCCTCCTGAGCCCCAGGTTTTCAGAGGAGGCAGGAGGGGGAGGTGGTGATAGCAGGACCAGAGCAGCACCAAGGGCTGTGTGGGCCCAGCTGGGAGGATGGGCTCTGCCCGGGTGCAGGCCTGGGGGCCTCCAGGAGGAAGAGGCATATGAACCCTGCTTTGTAGGATGATCAGGGTCAGGTCCCAGGGGAGCATGAAGGCAAAGACTTAGGGTGCTGTTAGGGCCTCTGGGTCACACAAAGGTGACCAGTACCAGGGCTGGAGGGCAGGGGGCCTGGCTGGGAGGGAGTCGTGCTGCTCTTTTCCTGCGTCCCCCCATTCCTGCCCAGCCTCCCCTCCAAAGGAGCCCCTGCTCTCTCCAGCCTCGGGACCCTCGGTGGTCCCCAGAGGGCCAGCTATTGAGCTGTCCCAAGGTCACTCAGGATGTCCAATAATTGTCCTAACACTTTACCTGCTATGGAACAGTAATGAGAGGGTTTTCATTATTTGCGGGTGAGTGCTCCTGGCAGATGCCGACAGCCAGCAGATGTGGAGAGGCCGAGGTGATTTGTAAGGGCCGGTTCATCTGATGTACGGTAATTGCATCGGGTGACGTTGTCACTCAGAGGCTCGTCCTGGCCTGCTGGGATAAGGTAAAGGTCAGTTCAAAGATCCAGTTTAGGCTGGGCACGGTGGTTCATGCCTGTAATCCCAGCACTTTGGGAGGCTGAGGCAGGTGGATCACCTGAGGTCAGGAGTTTGAGAGCAGCCTGGCTAACCTGGTGAAACCCCATCTCTACTAAAATTGCAAAAATTAGCTGGGCGTAGTGGCAGGCACCTGTAATCCCAGCTACTCGGGAGCCTGAGGCAGAGGAATCACTTGAACCCGGGAGGCAGAGGTTGCAGTGAGCTGAGATCATACCACTGCGCTCCAGCCTGGGTGACAGAGCGAGACTCCATCTCAAAAAAAAAAAAAAAAAAAAAGATCCAGTTTGGCCACAGGAAGTGGGAGCAAATCCCCACTCACTC